CCCAGGCAGATCTCGAACCCGCAGGCTCAGGCAATCCACTCACCTCAGCCTCCCAAAGGCTCAGGATTACAGGCTGAGCCACCGAGCCTGGCTAACACTGCTTTTAAAACAGGCACCGTGAGGGCTGTTCGGAGGCACCTGTTCCCCCAGCTCTCAGCCCCAGGCCGGGGCATTGTCTGGGAGCAGCTAAATGATGACGGCTCGTGGACCGCCTATGAAGCCAGCGTCTGTGACTACCTGGAGCAGCAGATGGCCAGGGGCAGCCAGCCCGTGGACCTGTCTCCCCTGGGATACAACTACACAGTCAACTACGCCACCCACACACAAACCAATAAGACTTCCAGCTTCTGCCGCAGCGTGCGGCGCCAAGCAGGGCCCCCTTACCCAGTGACCACCGTCATTGCTGCGCCGGGCCACACAGGAGTCGCCTGCTCTTGCCACCAGTGCCTCAGCGGCAGTGGAACTGGCCCTGAGTCAGGCCGCTACCGCCACTCCATGACCAACCTCCCTGCATACCCTATCCCTCAGCCCCCGCACAGGACCGCTGCTGTCTTTGGGGCCACCAGGCCTTTGCCCCATATAACAAACCCTCACTCTCTGGGGCTAGGTCTGCACCCCGGCTGAATACCACCAACCCCTGGGGTGGGGCCCCTCCCGCTTTGGGGAGCCAGCCCCTCTACCGTTCCAGCCTCTCCCACCTGGGACCGCAGCACCTGCCGCCAGGATTGTCCGCTTCCGGTGCAGCCAGGTATCGTGTCACTGCTGGTCATTTTGCCTGCCCCGAGTGCCCTACCTACAGTCTGGGCTTTCTGCTCTTACTCAGCCGAGAAGACTCAGTCCAAATATCTGCAGACTTGGCACCTGCCCCCTTGGCTGTCCCCGCCATGTTGTCTCAGTTTCATGTGCCATGTGAGTGCCTAGGTGCCATGACCGTTCATAGTTTGCACCCCCTGAAGCCTACCTGACCTCTGGTACTTGAGGGCTGGTAGTCACTGTAATCCTTTTGTTAACTCATGATTCTAGGGCCCTCCATGTGAAACAGAGTTGCAGGCCTTTTGCCGTGTTCCTGTGCCACATGGCTGGGCTGTGCCTCAGGGCCTGTTGGGCAACTGCATATTCATTGACCCCTGCCATCTGCCAGGTGCCAAAGAGCAGAGATGTGAGCTACAGTTCTTGCCCTCAAGCCCGCAGACCAGGCCGGAGGAGGGCCCGTGAGCACAGTGAGGAGAGAGCAGAATGGAGCCTGCGACTAGGTGGCCTCGGCGACCTAGCCGCCATGCTGGTGTAGTCCAGCTGAGTGTCCAGTAGAGCTCTTGACTCCTTGGGAGGGATGATGAAATCGCAGGCTCAGTCTGGACCAGGTGGTGTGCAAAGCGAGAACACCCTCAGGATTTGGTCAGTGGGTGTATGTGCCTGTGTCGACTGAGGACCTGTGAGGTCTGGGCGACCAGGGGCTGCCTCATTTCGTTATTGAGAGTGCTGGACTTGAGAGCGTTTTGAGAATTCACTGTGGTAGCTGTGATGGGTCTGCTTTCTGAGAGAGCTTTGGGGGTGTGACAGAGAGTGGTTGCCCCAGTACTCGGGAGGAGCAGCCCATCTTGTTGATTTGCTGCCTCGCTCACCGGCCCCATCCCTGCCGACTGCACTATGGTGAGGGCTGAAGCTTCCTAAGGTGCCCAAGACCTCCTTGGCAGCTTCTTGGGCCTCTGGCAGTTTTTGAAACCGAGTTTCAGAGGACCCTGCCAGCTTGTGTAAGACACAGTGACAGCAACTCGCATTCACTGAGCACACGTTGTATGCCAGGCCCTGCTGAGCTGGCTATGTGAGTGATTTCACCAGTCCTCATGATGGCCTTAAGGTAGGTAGTGCCCTCAGCTTACAGACAAGCACATTCAGGGCCATGAGGTTGGTGACACAGCCAGCAAGGGGTAGAGCTGGAATTAAACTTAGGCCCCAAGAGTGAGCCATGCAGGACACATGGGGGAGGTTCACGACGCTCTCTTAAAGACAGAAGGCATTTTGATGAGGGCAGAAGGCGTTTTGAGGGATAAGCGAGGAGGCCAGTAGACAGGGGAGTCTTCGATGGGCCAGGGTCCTCCTTCTGGAAGTTGGGTCACATGCATCTGAGATCTTTCCGGGAACTGGGAGTACAGGGAGGCGTCGTTGGGCCCTCTGTGGACTTTCACATAGATACAAGCAATCAGGGCTCAAGGAGGTGCTCCCCCGCCTCCCACCCTCCATGTGTGGGTCCCTCTCTTTCAGAGAACAGTGTCCTCTCTCTGTCAGCCCAGAGTGATTATTCAGCAGTGCTGGGACTTCTGTGAAGTCTGCTTCACCTAGTCTCTGGGAACATCTTAAGTTGTTAGGAATTATTTTGAGGCAAATCTCCAAGTAGTGCTAAAGCGGGGACTCTGGGATTGAGTCAGATGACTTTATGGGGCTGATGGGGCCTCCCAGTGGTCTCCTCCAAGCTACCCCTCCCCCCAGTATTCCTCTGTGCCCTCCCCAGCCTGAGAGCCTCAGAGTGCTGATGTGAGCCCTCCTGGTGCAGACCAGATGAACTGCGGAAAAGAAGATGACTAGGCTGGTCTTCCCTGGTGCTAGGCCACGTGTACCGCTGCTTGCCCTGTGTTAGGAGCCAGGAGAGAGCCGGGCCAACCAGCTTTGTTCCTTGAAACAGCTTCAAAGGGGCCTGCCTCCTGGGTCGGTGTACATTCCTATTCCTCCAGCTTCTCTGGAGCAGGGAGGGGCGTAATTCACTTGTATGGGCCTAACCATACTTTAAAAAATTGGGTTTTCTCATGTCTAATTCGTAGGGTGGCCCTTCTCAGTTAATATCCTCTGATGGTTGCAGTGCCAGAGGGGGCTTAATTAATACCTGACCTCAGCCAGGCTAGGTGGCTCAGCCTGTAATCCTGCGCCTTGGGAGGCTGAGGCGAGTGGATTGCCTGAGCCCACGGGTTTGAGACCCGCCTGGGCAGCGAGACCTCATCTCT